AAAGGAAACCATAATGAAGTCACTTATTATGCTTTTGTGCCTCATATGGCCGCTTGAGATGTTTGTCAAGTAGAAGTAAACAAAAGGTTGTTTGAGGGATCTGAACAAACAACTAATGCTGCCAGTATTTGTAGAAAAAAGGGCAAGGATATCTGTTTTTGTTTTTTTAAGCAAATGTCTCCATAAACCCCTTAACTTTTAGAATTTAAATCAAAGCATAAGTAACTCTATAGTCTCTAAATCTCACCTCTACACCAGGAAACACGCTTTGAAGAAAGAAAGTGGTGTGCAGAACTGGGTTTCTGTTGTGTACTTTTGCACCTTTGTACTGAACTCAGTAGCATGAATCCATCCTGTAAATCGTGTGCAAACAGCTTCTGGGGTAAAACAACAAAGGCCAACAGAGGGCTCCTGACTGCAGCTCGCCTGCAGCAACAGACACCCACCTGAATCCGCCTCTCCTCCTCCTCCCTCCTCTTCCTCTCCTCCTCTTCCTGCTTCCTCTTCAGCTCCATCTCTGCTTTCCTGAAGAGAGGAAAGACAAAAGGACAGGTGTAGGCAGAAAGACCGAACGATAAATAGACAGAGAGATAAAGGAAATGTGGCAAAGGGGAAACAAAGGAGAATAATTTTGTATTAAGAGGGAGAGATAAATGACAGATGGGGGGCGAGACAGAGGAAGAAAATGTATTATGGAGTAGTGGAGCAAAAATTTAAAAAAGCAGAGGGAGAAAGATTGAGGGAGAAAGAAAGACGGCAATAGATCAAGAAAGAAAGGAGACACAGAGAGAAATACAGTAAGGTGAATAAATCAGTTTATCCTCATTGATACTGATGTCAACCTGCTGCTTCTTTAACTGGAAATCACTTCATGTTTCCTCATTAGCAGTTTTATTGAGTGTTTCACTATAATTTCACAATCTGTAAAACTGAAAGCGGGTTTTGAACATTACAGCGACAGTTAAACACCTGTTTTCTGGCATCTTCGTACATTTTTAATGGCCTGCTTTGTTATATTTGTTCTTATTAGTTTAAAGGGACAAATTAACTCAACTTGAAATGTAAGCGTACGTTACTGAATGTTTAATACTAAGATTTAAATGTAATAACTCTGATCATTTGAAGTGTAATTCTCATTCTCATGAATAAAAGACGGCCAGGATGGGAATTACTTGACAACAAACCAATACATTGATTTATGTCCGTTAATTAAAGACCCACACGTCTATAATCATTAAAAAAACTATTAATCATTTGGGAATTTAAATATTTACGGTATTTTCGCAGTAAATAAATAATGTTAAAATACTTTATAATGTATTTAAAGCTAATTGAACATTTAGGGGCACAGCTGGGAACACATCTAACACTATGACAATATTATAAAAGTTGATACAGCAACATGTTACCACATCCCAACGTGACGATTAATTTGGAATCATGCTTGTTTCCATTTGGTGAGCATTCATCCTCCTTTAAGCTCTGCTTTGGTCTCCACCAGCTCTTGAGAAAATGACCTGGTTTAACAGCACTGCACTCCCCAGCTAACTGTGTGTGTGCTGTTTGCTGCTGAACAGGTTGTGTACAGTGTTGAACATGAAAAGCGTGCTGAGACTCAAACATACAGTACATGTGCCATAAAACCAAATTAATGAGGCACTTAGTGATAAGTACTTTATAATGGAACAAACTTCCAGAGGATATTAGTGCTTTAAACACCTTTAAATCCAGGTTTAAAAAACACGTTTGACTCTGCACTGCCTTTTTACTAAACCTCAAATGCAACCTTTGTCGTCTACCTTTGCTGTACTAATTTCTCTAAACCTGACTTTTAATGTTTTTAGGTTTCTATGCTTTGAAGTTGCATTTTAATATTTAATGCTGTTCTATTTGTTCATGTTTTTGGTTAAAAAAATAAATAAAAATGCACATGAGGGCATCAGTCATGATATTAATTCTTTTTTTTCCCCTAAATATTGATGTGTATCTAAAATTTAGAAAAATACAATGATCTAAATGTTAAATGCAATGAACATAGTGTCGCTATTATTAATGACCTGAAATGACATCAGTCTACGAATCCAAAACCAAACCTAACACATTTAGGTGGATTTTAAGCACAATTTGTTGCTAATGATAAAGCAGTAATGTTAAGTCTTGGTTGATTTCTCATTGAACAAGGCATCTTCACAAAACTGAAATAATTCCATGATTAAAAATCACTTCTTAAGGCAAATGTAAAAATTCTAATTCAAGATCTGTGCATGTGAACTCTGGATTATTTCAACAAGTGAACAAATCATACAGATAGTTTATTTAATCCTCTTAAACAAGAAGATAGAATAGAAGAAATCTTTGCTTTCTGCTGTAAAAACGTCCAAACTATTCAAAAATCATTAATTAACTGACTAATCTTTTGAGCTGCACTGGGTTGGATTCGTTTCCAAAAGACAAATCCGATAAATCCCTGCCAGAGACGTACGTGGCAACAAAAAGTTAAAAACAAACTCCCTCCTGTGTCTGTTTCAACTGCTCTTAAACTGGTTGTTATTTTCCTGCTCTTTGCCTTTTTTATTTTTGTTGTGCGCTCACAGGAAAACTATCAGAGCACTGAAGCGTTGACATTTGCACCCTTTACTACTGCCGGCTTGTACTCTGTGGTCATCTAGGAATTGAAGGTTGTTCTGCTGCTGCTGCTGCTGCACATCGCCGCAAAACGCTCTGAATAGAAACATCAGCCAAATGCCCCAAAGAAAGAAGAACACTGGGCCGTGTGGTCGCAGCGGCTCAGGAATTTAGAGCATCGGAAGCGAAATCCGCTGTGAGAAATTCCCGTTGACCGACATCCTCAGAAATAATAGGTGGATTAAAGCCTCGACCGGACCTGTGATGAAATGTGAAATCCTATAAAACAAGTTATTACACTGATGTTATCATGGACTTCTGATGTGATCTCAGAGTGCTCCTGCTCTCATGACCTTCAGTCTGTGACCTTCAGGTGCATCTTGGGAGTTCATAACTTGCCAGAGGAGGAGAATAAAGGGAAAGTGGGCTATAAAATTTGGGCTGTCGGCTCTAATGTCTTATATTAGCGGGTAGTGGTGTGAGACGAACACATTGGCCCCCATCAGTCCTCCTAAAAGACTTTCCATACCGTTAAAAAACGTGGAGCACCGTGGCGGTCAAACCCTGGATGAAGAATACGTCTGTCACAATCTGGGCAGGAAATTAAATTTTCCGTGTAACCATGTTCAGCATGTGATGGATTTAAAACCATCACCGGTCCCTCACATTGTGTCATTTAGGAGGGAAACAAAGAGGGAGGTGGTTACCTGAGAGAAAGGCGAGCTGACTTAAAAAAAGAGATTAATAAAATCGTAAATGTTCTCCATTCTTGAATGTTCTAATCATAAAAATTATTCAAGTAGACGTAGTTAATACAGACAAGAGTGAACAGTATACTACTTTAGCATGCTACTTGAGTACAGTCAGTTATTTTCCACCAATCACACTTAAAAACTGAGCTAAAATTCAAGGACAATTTTTGTTCTTAGGAGTTGGTGGAGACCAAAAACAGAGCGACATGAGGAGTACTGTAATGTCCAGACGAGAAGCCGCTACTTTTTTCACACGCTTTGAACACTGCAGCTAAAACAATGATGAGGCTAATTTATGGATTTCTACGATTTTTACGAATTTGCCTCGAGATGAAAGTGACATTGAGAGCAACAACGAAAGAGAGACTGAGGAAGTGATGAAGTAATTCTGAGGCTGTTCTGACACTGAAGAAGACGACTTTAGTGGTTTTAGTGGCAGGAGGAAGATGAAGATAGCGATCAATGACTTTTCCTGGTAGGCTACTGTATGTTTTATTTTTTTAACCAGCCGTGTTACAGGCACTGTTCCGAAAAAAGCATTTACGGTATTTGTGTGTGTTGCCGGTACGTAATTAATTCAAAGTTTAAAAAATCTTTCTGTGTAAATATCTCAAGTTACAACGCGGACACCTGCTGCTTATAGACAAGGGCGGCCTATATATGTACAATTTTTTTTTTTTCTTTTCAAAGTTAGTGGGTGCAGCTTATATTCAGGTGCCTCAATAGTCCGAAAATTACGGTAAATATCCAACCTAGATAGGTCAGGAAAACAAAGCAGTGCTATGTGTGGAGGTTTGCATGTCCACCATTCTACTTAATTGGTTAATTTCTAAAGTTTATGAGGCGACATCACAGGTTCTAATCCATGTTAATCTCCTTCATTAAAAGTCGTGTTTATAGATGAGAATGAAGGAACAAACAGTGGAGGACTGGGAACAGGAACTGGTTTTACGCTGCTGTTTCAAAGTTACAGCACATAAACATGACCTAATTTCATTGTGTGTTCAGGTTTTTCTCACAACTGTGACGCTGTGACCCTCGACATCGTTGCTATTGTTCTCCTGCAACGATGAACACTGCGGCTGTGAAGCGTATTCTGCTGCTGCGCCTACTGTAAATCACCCCGGACAAAAGCATCAGCTAAATACAGAAAATGTAAAAAAGCAACAACTCAACCTCATAACACTTTATAGCTTCTGTAAAAATAAATCCTTTTTGGAGCAGCAATCTCATTATGTAAATCCCTACTGGGGCCCCTTTAAAAATGTGTGGACGGAGAGCGCATTTGTCCGGTGCAGCAGTTTTTACTGAAAAGTGGCTTGTGCCGGGTCACAACACACCAACTTTCACAAGTGCCTCTTAATTTTTGGCCATGTAGCAAAACAAAAATGTTTCATCTGCGCCTCGGTGAAGAGGCCCAGAAGTGCGAGCGCTCCGTCCTGACAGCCCCCCTCCCACTTACAGTCGCCTGTCCTCCTCCTCCTGCTTGCGGCGCTGCTCCTCCTCCTCCCTCCTCTTCTTCTCTTTCTCCATCTCCTCCTGGATGCGTCGCAGCCGCTCTCGCTCCTCCTCCTCCTTCTTCTTGTTCTGCATGGCGGTCAGCAGCTGCTCCGACCGGGTCACCAGGGCCCGGTACTCGTGGTCGATGTCGATCCGACTCATAATGGTGCACTGCCAGACATAAAGAAACAGAATCTTCTCAGAATGTCTCTAGACAGCAGGTGCTAATTTGGAAGGTTAAACCTGAAATAGTAAGTAGCCTCGCTGTGATAGCTGCCAAAATAAATGTGTGAAGGTGTGAATGAGCATTTTTATATCATTTAAACTTCTATTTAAATCACAAGACACGGAGCCCCATCGCTGAGGAACCGCAGACTGATGGAGGCTGTTAGAGCAGAACGTCAATGCTCGTCATCTTTAAAATGAGATGTTCAACTGTTGTCAGGTTGCTCTGTGCAAATCTGACGTATTCAAGTTTGCAAACTCTTTTTCTTGAAAGCCTGGAAAAGAAGACAAGAAACAAAACTATTTAATTGGTATTCACTCTGATTCCTCTTGTACTGCACAGCTGTATACAACAGTGGAGAAGTGAAAAGGAGTAAATACACCCTCTGCAACATACATTTAAACTGAGCTTTTCTTCAAATGGTGATGCACTGTTACTTTTTATTTCATCAGCTCACAAAAGAAGCAGCGTGTGCCAAAGTTTGGGCAACTTTCTGCCTGTAAGACAACCTGTAAGTCAGGTCAAGAGTTGTCGTTAGTTTAATTCTCTCACCCTTCAAACGCCGCCGTAACACAAACAAGCAAACTTAAAGATATCAAAGCACTTGCAGCTATCACAGTCTGAAATGTCATTAAGAAGCGGCAGTTTTGGAGGTCAAGACAAGCTTCAGAAGACCAAGAACACTAAGTGATAAAACTGCACGTCTGAAAGCAAAGTAAAACCCCGATACTAACTCAAGAACAGAAAGACTCTTAGCTGACAACAAAAGCATATGCGAGCTTTGGTATCTACAAACGGACATTTTTGCACGTTATTACTGTAAAAAAAAAAAAAAAACAATTCTACTTTATGTAATAAAACACAAGATTGATTCAGAAAAGCACAGCAGTGACATTAACATTTGGAAAAATGTTCAATGTCTGTTTAAATAAGGGATTGTATTTCCTGTTCTTTGCACCGTCAACAAAGAATGTACACTGTATAGTAAATGTTTTTGCAAGTGACAAAGTTGTAGACAAACAAGGTCTGAAGATCAGACTGTCACAAATTTCTAAGCTGTTTGCACGTTGCTCTGGATCTGGTTTGTAAGAGTTTACGGCGTCTTCTTGTCAGCAGATGTGGATCCGACATAGCTGTACGCACAGTAGAATTATAAAAGTGTAATTATTTCATTCATTCTAAGGCTGCACATTTCTAATGCTATGACTACACCTTTAGCCCTGAAATGTATATAGCAACATGTAGATATGTAGAATCACCATAGTAATCAAAACACCATAGGAACCACCATGAAACACGTTAGCAACAACCTACAAACACTTCGCAACCAACTAGAAACACCAAAGCAACTCATTAAATACCTTAACAACCACATAAAAAACCTTAGCAGCCACGCAAAAACACCACAGCAACCACAGGAACACACCAGAGAACCACCAAAACACAAATTTGCAGCCACTTAGAAACACCTTAACTACGATTTAGGAATACCATAGCGATTACCAGAAAACATCTTAGCAGCCACCTAAAAACACCTTAGCAACCACTTAGAGACACTACACTACCACATAAAAACACTTCAGCAACCACATATAAACACCATAGCAACCACCGAGAAATACCTTAGCAGCCATCTACAAAAACCCTACCACATAAAAACACTTCAGCAACCACATAGAAAAGCCCTAGCAACCACGTACAAACACCATAGCAGCCCTTAAGACACACCTTAGCAGTTACTTGGAAAACAAACACAACAAAGCACGTAAAAACACTGTAGCAACCACGTAAAAA